AAAACTAAAATAAATAGTTGAATAAACGTGTGTAATAGGGTGATTGCATTCCTCTAACTTCATGTGATCTATGTACCATCTTAAGAAAACTTTCAACAATTTTAACATCAGTGTTGGTGTCGATGCTTGTTTGTTTACCGTTTTCTTCTTCTCTAATAACACGGATTTGACATGATTTTTCTCTCGCTTCCGGGCTACCCCTGGTAACCCCCGTGTTTCATGTCATACCACTATAAACTGTGGGCAGTTCCCTCAGCGAAAGTCTGCAGAAATGCGGACTTACGAAAAGGGTCTAAAAAGGGCTCAAAATGTCCGCGAGAGAGCCCTCACACACTCCGAGGTCGTCTCCTCTCCAAAACAAACGGACCCGGACATTAAAACATTAAAACACAGCCACGTAGCAACGTTAGCATTAGTCCTGTGGTTTGTTTACAGCTAACAGCTGATCCGGTCCTCCAGAGAACACAACTTAACTTTTACTTTTTATTTATCGACAGAGCCCTGCTGTTGTTTCACCGCTCCTCACTGGTGAACAACCTGCAGTTTTTGAGATTATTATTAAATTTGTTAAATTTTAATAAGAGTGTGTTTTATTCATCTAGTTTGTCAAGCTTATTACTTCAATATATTCCCTGTAAATCTGATCTTAATATATAGATTTTACTCATGTATAGACGTTAGGCTGCTGTATGAATAAGCACTTTAGAGATATAGTGATATTATATATACATATATAATATGGCTGGTCTGGTTGTATACTCAGGAAAATGGACAGATTTAGCCGGAGTAGTGGCTTAATCGAATATTGACAACATATTTCTGTGGTTTTTACATGGTTTGAATTTGGTTGTGGCTCCATGGGGCTTTATAGAACCATGATAGAGAAAGATCAAGAGGTGAATTTGTGCATTATACTTTGTTAATTAGAGCAAGCCAGGCAGCCTTCTGTGTTTGAGAAGTGCGCTGTTTTTTTTTTTCAAATTGCCCACTATAGGGCTGCAGCGCCGCAATAACCAGGCTCGTTAAAATGAGCGAAATGACACAAAAAAAGATTAGTTCATTTTAATGAACGACATTTGGTGACTCGTGTCTTTCAAAAGAGTGACTTTTAACATCACTAGAGGTTTGGTCTCTTTGTTTTGATCACTTCATGTTCTGAACTCTTCACTTTTTTTCAAACTGGTCTCACATTTTGCAGATCTTAGTCCAAATATCAAAACCACGGTTAAAATCCACAAACAGCTGGATGCAGGTTTGAGAATGTGTAAGAACATTGAAACAAAAATAAAATCTGGGAACAAAGTGATAATTTTTATTCCACATTTAAACACGAGTTTCCTCATTTCATCAGAACACACAGGAAGGATTAGCAGCCCAACATGCATCTTTTATGAGGGCTGTAATTAAGTTTCTTACTGTTTTTATCTCTTCATGCATTGATTATTGCAACAGCCTCTTCACTTGCCTTAATCAAAAAACCCTGAATAGGTTACAGACTGTACAGAACTCAGCTGCTCGGCTCTTAACTAGGACAAGAAAATTTGATCATATCACCCCGGTTTTAGCATCGTTGCACTGGCTCCCTGTTTGTTTTACGATTGATTTTAAGATTTTACTCATTACTTTTAAGGCTACTCATGGCCTGGCTCCTGATTATATCTGAGATGTTTTAACGCTAAACAACTAAAGAGTTGACTTGACTCTGGTCTGGCTGTTGCTGACGTATTGCGGTAAGCGTGTCGACTCATTTCCGTTTCCGGTGCTTGTGTGTTGGTACCGTGATGTGCTGCTCTCGCTAAATACCAGTTACATTTGTTAGATTACAGCGGCCAACTGTCCGCTAAACACTTATTCTTACAGTAATTTTGCCTAAGCACTCACAGTTCTTTCCATCTTTTAGTGACTGCTGTTCAATCTCATAGTTGTTCTAAAGTTTTGGTAGCTGACGCTACAGTACTTTAGCTTAGCCGTTAGCGACTTTAGCTTAGCAGCTAGCGATGGCTTCTCCTTCTCCCTCTCTCTCTCCTACTTTCTCCTGCTCGGTGTGTCAGATGTTCAGTTACTCCTCTGCCTCCTTTAGCGGTAATGGTACGTGTAATAAGTGTAGTTTATTTATAGACGTTGGAGGCGAGGCTCAGTGATTTAGAAGTCCGGCTCCGCACCTTGGTAGATCAATCTTTAGCTACTGTAGCTAGCCAGTCCCCGGTAGTCGGTGCGGGCCGGTCTGAGTTAGCCTCTGGTAGCCGTCCCCCGGCATCCCCTGTGCAGCCAGGAAAGGGGGGGCTGGGTGACTGTCCGAAGGAGGAATAATTGTAAGCATTCAAAGTCCACGGGGCACCATCAACCTGTTCACGTTTCTAACAGATTTTCCCCACTCAGCGACACACCCGCTGAGAAACCAACTCTGATCATTGGCAGCTCCATTTTGAGAAACGTGAAGTTAGCGAAGCCAGCGGCCATAGTTAAGTGCATCCCTGGGGCCAGAGCGGGCGACATTGAGTCTTATTTGAAACTGCTGGCTAAAGATAAACTTAAATACAGTAAGATTGTTATTCACGTCGGCGGTAATGACTCCCGGTTACGCCAATCGGAGGTCACTAAGATTAATGTTGAGTCAGTGTGTACATATGCAAAAACAATGTCGGACACCGTAGTTTTCTCTGGACCCCTGCCAAATCTGACCAGTGATGACATGTATAGCCGCATGTCGTCATTCCGCCGCTGGTTGTCGAGGTGGTGTCCAGCAAACGATGTGGGCTTTGTAGATCATTGGCAGACTTTCTGGGGAAGACCTGGTCTGATCCGGAGAGACGGCATCCATCCCACTTGGGAAGGAGCAGCTCTCATTTCTAGAAATCTGGCCAAGTTTATTAGTGGACCAAATCCATGACAACCCAGAGTTGAGACCAGGAGGCAGAGTCGCAGTTTAACACACTTCTCTGCTCCTCCATTTCAGGAGTTACTTAGTGAAAATCCTATAGTGACGGTGTCTGCCCCCCGACCATCGAAATTATTTAAATCAAAGGTAAACAGAAGAGGAGCTGTGCATAAAAACCTCATAAAAATTAAAACCACAAGAGCAATAGTGCAAACGAATAGGAAAATTAAATGTTGACTCTTAAACATCAGATCTCTCTCCACTAAAGATGTACTAGTAAATGAAATTTACTACGATTTATCAGATCGATTTCAGTTTGTACATGTTAACGAGTCCTCCATGCATGCCAAAGTTAGTCATGGAGTTCCTCAAGGATCTGTCCTCGGACCAATCCTCTTCACTTTATATATGCTTCCCTTAGGCAATATTATTAGGAAATATTCCATCAACATTCATTGTTATGCAGATGATACTCAGTTATATCTATCGATCAAGCCAGATGAAACTCATCAGTTAGCTAAACTTCAATTGTACCATCAGGATGTTAAAACCTGGATGACCTGTAATTTTCTAATGTTAAACTCAGATAAAACTGAAGTTATTGTTCTGGGACCTAAGCACCTCCGTGACGCATTATCAAAAGATATAGTTTCCCTTGATGGCATCGCCCTGGCCTCCAGCACCACTGTGAGGAATCTTGGAGTTATCTTTGATCAGGACATGTCGTTTAAGTCTCACATTAAGCAAATTTCAAGGACCGCATTTTTTCACCTACGTAATATTGCGAAAATCAGGAACATCCTGTCTAAAAATGATCCAGAAAAACTAGTCCATGCATTTGTTACTTCTAGGCTGGATTACTGCAATTCCTTATTATCAGGCTGCTCGAAAAAGTCCATTAAGGCTCTTCAGCTGATCCAGAATGCTGCAGCACGTGTTCTGACAGGAACCAGGAAAAGAGATCATATTTCTCCTGTTTTAGCTTCTCTGCATTGGCTTCCAGTAAAATCCAGAATAGAATTTAAAATCATTCTTCTTACCTACAAAGCTCTTAATGGTCAGGCACCATCTTATCTTAAAGAGCTCATAGTACCTTACTACCCCACCAGAGCACTGCGCTCCCAGAATGCAGGGTTACTTGTGGTTCCTAGAGTCTCCAAAAGTAGACTAGGAGCCAGAGCGTTCAGCTATCAAGATCCTCTCCTGTGGAACCAGGTTCCAGTTTGGGTTCAGGAGGCAGACACCATCTCCACATTTAAGAGTAGGCTTAAGACTTTCCTCTTTGATAAAGCTTATAGTTAGGGCTGGCTCAGGTGAGTCCTGAACCATCCCTTAGTTATGCTGCTATAGGCCTAGACTGCCGGGGGATTTCCCATGATGCACTGAGCTCCTCTCTCCTCTACTTTCTCTCCCTCTGTATGCAACCTTATCCCATTATTGCATGTTACTAACACAACTTCTCCCCTTTCTGGTAGTCTTGTGCTTTCTCGTCCCTCTCCTCTCTCCTCCTATCACTTCCTGCAGGTGTTTCTGGCTCTGGAGCAGTGAAGTCTGGATCTGTGGTTGCGGGTCACCTGCTGCCCCCGTGTTCCTGCTCGACACCCTCTGCTACAACAACTGTTGTTACTAGTCCTATTGTTATTATTGTTATTATAATCATTAACATTACGATTATTATCATTAACACCATTTTTCATTTAGTCTATAGCAACATCACCTTTACTGTCTGTACCTCTGTGTGGATATTGTGTAGGCTGCCTCCCTCCCCTCTCTCTCTCTCTCTCTCCTTCACCCCAACCGGTCGAGGCAGATGGTCGCCCACCCTGAGTCATGGTTCTGCTCGAGGTTTCTGCCTCTTAAAAAGGAAGTTTTTCCTTGCCTCTGTCGCCTAGAGCTGCTCTTGGTGGGAACTGTTGGTCGGTCTAGACCTGCTCTCTTATGAAAAGCGCTGTGAGATAACTGTCGTGATTTGGCGCTATATAAATAAAATTGAATTGAATATAATGAATATAATCTGTGGTCATCATCAACATGTAAACCACCTGCGCTTTTTTTGGGACTCAGATCAGCAAAATCTCCTGAGTGTTTAAAGTCACAGCTGTCTTTTTAGTACGAGAGTTTTCATCTACACTTGATTTGTGATGCCTTGAACTGTTTTTGTTTTTATTGTGCTGTCTACTGTTGTAATGTTGCTTTAACTTGATATCCTCCTGTAAAGCATGTGGTAACCTAGGTTTTTAAAGGTGCTATATGAATGAAATGTTACTTATTGACTTACTCAGGAAATGTTATTTAATGTTTTACATCCAGCTGCAGAGGTTCCCCTCTGTTTCCCTACAGTTCTTATCTCCAGTCATCTTGAAATTTAGGTTGTAAATCACTGCAGCAGAATGAAATTAATCAATAACAGTTTTTCTAAAATAGTTCATTTATAAATCCCTATAAACCTCATGGTGGGTCTGATCACTGAGACTTGATCCTCCATCACAGATTTATTTACTGAGCTAATCTTTAGCTCATCAGCTGGTTAGTTAGCAGCATCTAGTGGACAGAGAATGAAACTACACATCTGATCAGTGACGTTTCTGACACTGACTGGGTTTAGATGTTCTAAAGGAAAGATGTGACACTATCTCACGACCAAATTTAAAACTTATTTAAGAAATAAAAGCTTTTCTTCTTGTAGCCTTCATCAAATAACAAAACAAAGGGATCACAAACCAGACCCGTTTTGACGTCACTCTGATGTTTTTTAGACTCTGAAGTTATGAGGATGTGACGGCGTCCTCAGATCAGATGCACACAGACACCAGGACTGACGAGGAAGAAATGAGCAGCTTCTTCTCTCCCAGTGTTTCCTCCACACATGAAGGTGCAAAGTGTCTGTAAGTCGACCTGAAGTGAGTTCAGCAGGTGAGAATCCGACCAGAGGAATCTGTAAATGTCTGATAATCAGGATCACTTTGATCACATTGTGCTGGATCACTGTTTAACTGGACAGTAGAAATGCTTCTTGATGCTGATTGGCTGTTTCTAAATATCTCTTTGAAATCTGCTGTAGAATTTCTCTCCGAGTTAAAGAACAATGATTTCAGAAAGATTTCCCTGTAATATTGTTCATGTTTCTCAAGTAGAATCAGCAGCAGTCTGATTGTAGTCTGAGCTCACATCATCAGTGAAACATGCAGGGTGTGTCTGAACTGGTCTGACAGCTTGGATCCACTTGGCTCAGGTTTCTGGTTTAACTGTTAATACTCTGAAGTTAAGTGCATGGATGAAGAGTTCAGGGCTCAAATACAGACATCTTCCAACACTGAGACGGACTTGGTTTCACTGAAGACCCTTTAGAACAGTCCAGGGGCCTCATGTATAAAAGCCATCTGTCAGCCATCGGCGATGGCATTGTGATTGTAAAACCCCGTCCCCCCGTCAAAAAAAAAAACTAAATTTTTCACATTATACCGCTATGTGAAAGCAGGTTTTAATCACAACGAACATTATTATTAAAGAGGCCTACACCTCAGGTAAACACACCGGCTAATACCGGGGAAAGGCAGCCTGCAGTTGGCACTTGGCTTATTTTATTTCTTTTCCAATTGAAAGGTGCAGTATGGAATAGTTATGGCTGACTAGTGCGAACACAAATAACACTGCTGGTTTGAATGTTTACATGATAAATTGGTAACATGTGAAATGAAGTGAAATTAAATATGTGAAAGTCATCATGATCTATTTTTCTCACATTCAATTTTATTTTGATATTAAACCACTACATACATGATCAAACCTTTGTCAAAAGACATAATTAGGATTTTGATAGACTACTCCATTGACATCTGCACAGTAATTGCAGTGGAAACACTATTTTGAAACATTTGGTGAGTTTTGGCACTTTAGCAGTTTACTGACAGCCAGACAAAAGTTTGTGGAGGGACTTCACATTCTCACATCACGTTCATTTTTATACATCCCACGTGTGCGTGAAAACCAGCGTACGTAACCTTTTTATACGTAGGCAGCGTTTATACATGAGGCCCCAGGTCTCAGCTGTACCAGAGGCTCCAGGATCCTTTCTAGATGGACCAGAGCCAGCCCAGGGTGGAGGGGAACTTAGAGGTTGATTAGGGCCCCTCAGCCATCAGGGGCCCTCACAGGAATAGAGAAGGACCAAAGTAAAATCAGCCATCCTGTGTCTCTCTGGTCATGATTTAAACATTTAAAGACAGAAATAAAGATTTAAAGACACAGACCTTGAGGAGAACTAAAGTGTCCAGAGATGTAAAGCTTGTTGTAATGAATGAGTGCAGCTCTCTCAGCATGTTGTTGTGTTTGTGTGAAGGTGTGGGCTCTGCTATGAATCAGTGTGAGGACAGAGAGGAGGGAGTCCCTCCCTCTAAAAGCACTCTGTGTGGGGAACATGACAGCCAGACCAAAGCTCAGAGGTGAGATGAGGATCTCTAACTGTCCAGGACTCAAATCACTCCACCATCATTATTCACTCTCAAAGCTCTGTGTGTGTTGTGTTGAAGCCCAGAGCAGCAGCAGGGACCAGACTCTGCTGGACCTGGACCTGGACCTGGAATCGAGGGCGTTAAGAATCTCCGGTTGAGGTTTGAACCTTGTAAGGTTAAAGGTGGACAGCAGTCTGCTAAGAAAAGGTGAGAATGTAAAATGTCTGTTAATATTCAATTATCCTAAGAAGAAGTATGATGTTTTGATGAAGCCCAGAGCAGCAGCAGGGACCAGATTCTGCTGGACCTGGACCTGGACCCAGCTGTGTGTCCATCAAGAGTGACTGGTCTATGAGGGAACCTCTTGTCTTCAAAGGTGGACACCACTCTGCTGATCAAAGGTCAGCATGTTAGGTTGAGTTTCCTCATTTCATCAGAACAAAGGGGTTAACAGCCCAACCTGCATCTTTTATGAGGGCTGTGATTAAGTTTCTTACTACAGGATTATGTAAATACACTCAGTGTGATCACGTCATCAAACAGAAACACACTGTTCAGGATTCAAATTAAAAAGAGAGATGGGTATATGTATCAACCTGTTGTATTCAGATCATATGACACCCATCAGCTTATCCTAGGTAAACATTTTAATGGAGGGATTTCCTGTCATCCAATGGGTATTATGTCTTTATCAGGCAGTTAAGTAGTCTGTTCTGCTTCTGCTCTACTTCACAGAGTTGATCAGCAGAGCTCAGAGGTTCCCAGTGGTCAGTCTGCCCAGCAGCATCAAACAGACCTGGACTCCATATTTATGGTGTGTAAATGTACAAGCTCAGCTACTACTGCTAATTACAACAGCCACAAAGTAAATAGTGAAGCAGCATTCTGATCCAGTCTCCATGCTGCTCTCTGCAGACCAGCAGGCTTTCTGTCTGTCACAGATGATCTGATGTTGACTTCTACCAGTTCAACTTTACATTTTCTTCTGTTCCAGCTGCTCCAGGAAAACATTGGCAGGTTTGTGAAGAACGAGGTGAAGAAGTTCCAGAGGGTTCTGAGTCCAGATTACCCAGAATGCTTAGAGAGTCAGAGGGAAGATGAGGAGGTGTTGGACGGTGAGGAGGAGGAGCAGAGGAGGAGCAGCAGAGAGGCATTTCTGAAGATCACACTGCACTTCCTGAGGAGAATGAAGCAGGAGGAGCTGGCTGAGCGTCTGCAGAGCAGTAAGAGGATTTGAACAGATTTAACATGATGGAAAGAGGAAATGGAGGCAACATGGGAGAAGTTTCCATTTCAAACTCTGCTGTTAATATGATGCACACATTTGGATCAGATCTATGAATTCTTCTGGGCTGAAACTCAGAAACTGTTCACAGCTGATGAGCTGAAGAGATTTCATGGAGGAAAAAAAAATAAATACCATCTTGATGTCTTAAAGTTTACATTTATCAGATTTACTGTAGCATCCACTTATTAATCACATTTCTTCTTTCTTCATTCAGGAACTGCTGCTGCAGTGTGCCGACGTAAACTCAAGTCTAACCTGAAGAAGAAGTTCCAGTGTGTGTTTGAGGGGATTGCTAAAGCAGGAAACCCAACCCTTCTGAACCAGATCTACACAGAGCTCTACATCACAGAGGGAGGGACTGCAGAGGTCAATGATGAACATGAGGTCAGACAGATTGAAACAGCATCCAGGAAACCAGCCAGACCAGAAACAACCATCAGACAAGAAGACATCTTTAAAGCCTCACCTGGAAGAGATGAACCAATCAGAACAGTGATGACAAAGGGAGTGGCTGGCATTGGGAAAACAGTCTTAACACAGAAGTTCACTCTGGACTGGGCTGAAGACAAAGCCAACCAGGACATACAGTTCACATTTCCATTCACTTTCAGAGAGCTGAATGTGCTGAAAGAGAAAAAGTACAGCTTGGTGGAACTTGTTCATCACTTCTTTGCTGAAACCAAAGAAGCAGGAATCTGCAGCTTTGAAGAGCTCCAGGTTGTGTTCATCTTTGACGGTCTGGATGAGTGTCGACTTCCTCTGGACTTCCACAACAATGAGGTCCTGACTGATGTTACAGAGTCCACCTCAGTGGATGTGCTGCTGACAAACCTCATCAGGGGGAACCTGCTTCCCTCTGCTCGCCTCTGGATAACCACACGACCTGCAGCAGCCAATCAGATCCCTCCTGAGTGTGTTGACATGGTGACAGAGGTCAGAGGGTTCACTGCCCCACAGAAGGAGGAGTACTTCAGGAAGAGGTTCAGAGATGAGGAGCAGGCCAGCAGATCATGTCCCACATCAAGACATCACGAAGCCTCCACATCATGTGCCACATCCCAGTCTTCTGCTGGATCACTGCTACAGTTCTGGAGGAGGTGTTGAAGACCAGAGAGGGAGGAGAGCTGCCCAAGACCCTGACTGAGATGTACATCCACTTCCTGGTGGTTCAGTCCAAACTGAAGAAAGTCAAGTATGATGGAGGAGCTGAGACAGATCCACACTGGAATAAAAGAGCAGGAAGATGATTGAGTCTCTGGGAAAACTGGCTTTTGAGCAGCTGCAGAAAGGCAACCTGATCTTCTATGAATCAGACCTGACAGAGTGTGGCATCGATATCAGAGCAGCCTCAGTGTACTCAGGAGTGTTCACACAGATCTTTAAAGAGGAGAGAGGGCTGTACCAGGACAAGGTCTTCTGCTTTGTCCATCTGAGCGTTCAGGAGTTTCTGGCTGCTCTTCATGTCCATCTGACCTTCATCAACTCTGGTGTCAATCTGCTGGCAGAAAAACATCAACCTCCCGGCTGTCTAAAGTCTTCAGAGACAAACCTGAACTAACACATCTCTACCAGAGTGCTGTGGACAAGGCCTTACAGAGTCCAAATGGACACCTGGACTTGTTCCTCCGCTTCCTCCTGGGTCTTTCACTGCAGACCAATCAGACTCTCCTACGAGGTCTGCTGACACAGACAGGAAGTAGCTCACAGACCAATCAGGAAACAGTTGAGTACATCAAGAAGAAGATCAGTGAGAATCTGTCTCCAGAGAGAAGCATCAATCTGTTCCACTGTCTGAATGAACTGAATGATCGTTCTCTAGTGGAGGAGATCCAACAGTCCCTGAGTTCAGGAAGTCTCTCCACAGATAAACTCTCTCCTGCTCAGTGGTCAGCTCTGGGCTTCATCTTACTGTCATCTGAAAAAGATCTGGACGTGTTTGACCTGAAGAAATACTCTGCTTCAGAGGAGGCTCTTCTGAGGCTGCTGCCAGTGGTCAAAGCCTCCAACAAAGCTCTGTAGGTGGATAAATGGATGTGCAATTTCTAAAAACTGTATATTTGACAAATAAAACATTTAGTTTGTGTCCATTGCTAATCTTTTTCAGGTTGAGTGGCTGTAACCTCTCAGAGAGAATCTGTAAAGCTCTGTCCTCAGTTCTCAGCTCCCAGTCCTCTAGTCTGAGAGAGCTGGACCTGAGTAACAACAACCTGCAGGATTCAGGAGTGAAGCTGCTGTCTGCTGGACTCCAGAGTCCACACTGTACACTGGAAACTCTCAGGTCAGTAATAAGCTGTTTCGTTTAAATCCTCTTCATCTGATTTTAGGTTCATGTTAGTGAAAATGGTCTGTAGGATTTTCCTGCTGTCATGATTTTCTAAAACACAGAGTTTATGATGTTTTCCTGATTCCAGGCTGTCAGGCTGTCTGATCACAGAGGAAGGCTGTGCTTCTCTGGCCTCAGCTCTGAGCTCCAACCCCTCCCATCTGAGAGAGCTGGACCTGAGCTACAATCATCCAGGAGAGTCAGGGGTGAAGCTGCTGTCTGCTGGATTGGAGGAGCCACACTGGAGACTGGACACTCTCAGGTTTGGACAGACAGCAAGAGCTCACACACTGCAGGTGTCTCTAATTTCTGTTATTTTATGTCAGTCTACTGGAGTCCATCATCATGAAGGACTTCTTATTCCTCCTCATTCTGTTCAGAGCAGTGAGTAGGCCTGAGATGGAAACACACGGCTCTCCAGAAGTCTTATCGATTGGAAACCATTAGAAACATCAGAAACTTGGATGTAAAGTCATTCTAATGTGAGACCTGCTTGCAGCATTTCTCTATGGATAGAATCAGGGGTGGACTGGTAATCTGGCATACCAGGTAAATGCCTTGTGGCCAACGAAACTTTGGGGCCAGTGTAACATAAATTACTTATTTATTCAACTGTTTTAAAAAATGGGCCAATGGTCGGCCCATAAAGCATGTACCGCAGCACATTGGGTAATTTTCTATACTGACATTGGGCTGGCCCAATCACATCTCTACACCCCCCCCCCTCCTCTGCCTTCTGTTTCTTGAGTTGTGGGCCAAAAAAAATAAAAAAATTCTGCAGATGGATGCCACCAAATGCGCAAAATAACCGATATGTTAGCAGGAGGAGAGTGGAGGTGAAGCGGTAAGCATGGAGTAGCTCAGCCTGTAGGGAGGGAGCAGGGAGGGAGGGTCATAGTGTCATTTACACTGGGGACGCTGGGGACATGTCCCCACCACTTTTTGAAATGGCAGATGTTGTCCACATCACTTTTTGAAAGCATTTGTTAAAAATGTTAATGTTAAGAAATGTTAATTAACAAATGAAAATGCTTTGAGAAAGGTTTATTTGCACTATTCTGAAAACCAGCAATGCAATAAAAACATAGAAGAAACATCTGTTGTCCAAAAAAATAACTTAAGCTAAAAAAAGCTACAGATTACTGCATTATTCTATTACATTTTTATTCTGAATCATCACTTGCCAACTGAATTTGTGCTTCCCTTTACATAAATAAAGACATTCCACCATAAATTGGTGCAGAAAATATCCCCAGAATGCAGGAAATTAAGTGTTTAATGCTCAAAATAGTATTCAAATATATTCTTGTCTTGTTCTTGTGACCCCAATCTTGTGCAATGTCACATCTCATGGGCAAAGTGTGTCGTCACCCCCTAATCTGAGCTTGCTGTCTGTCTTTTTTTCTTCCTTTTTAATAATATCAAATAGCAACATATATCACCAATCTTAACATTGCAATGGATACTTCACATTAGGGATACCGATGTATTTATAGCTAGGGGGTACAATAACAGAACAATACAGCGAAAATAAATAAGGATATCACAGATATCTGTGAAGGTTCTCAGAAGGTTAAAGTCAAGGGCAACTGGACT